GAGCGGGATGCTTGGTGGCTTGGTTTGGGGGTTTGGAGGGGGGTTTAATGGGAGGCGAGGGGAGGCAAATCACTTTGGAGCCGCTTGGGTGCCTCCTTGGTGTCATGAGTCCTAACTTTGACGTAGATATGATGTTGGTGGTGCCGGTTACGGATCAAGCATCTATGGGCGTTGCGAACTCGCCTGGCGAGCGGCTCTACAGCACTTCAAGGCAATGCCGCCCATGCGGACGGCTTGTGATGGCGGCTCACCGCGTTGGCCACGTCCATGTTGGGGGACACCGAGGCGATGGCGTACGCCAAGGCTTCATGGTTGCGTCGAGGGGGCAGAGGCGGCGAAGAGGCAGTCTGAGTGGCAGCGCTGTTGGGGGGTTCTAGTGGGGATGCAGCCGCTGTGGGGATGCCGAGACAAGCAGCATGCAGACAGCTGGCACTGGCTAAGAGTCATGTGGGCAGGATCACGGCTCCGCAGCAATTGCAAACCGATTTTTCTGGCTGTACATGTTTCTTAGTGTGTTCTGATAAACATCCTCACATATGCCGACACAAAGGGTTGCAAAGTATGTAATCCAGAAGACAGTGAACGCGCCCTCCAGCCTGACACCGTAGTAGACGATGGCCGAGATCACCACGCTGCCCAGCGCCGCCACCCCGATCTCTGCAGATACCGATGGAGGGGGAATCCGAAACCGGGCAATGAGGGATAAATCGGGCGGCGCACAGAGGGCAAGGAGTTGCGAGCTGGCGGCGCGCCAAGTAAGCATCGCACGCGCACACACGTGCAGAGCAAGGGAAGGTGACCCCCGTAGTGTGAGCGCACCGTCAATCATCTTCGCTGCCAGGTAGGTGGACACCCTGTAGAGCCCGTCGTGGCGCTCCCTCACAAACAGCCGCCGCTCTGCGCATGATCGCAGGTGTAATAGGTTGCTTCAGAAGCCGAGCCAGCGACGGCAGCCTAGCAACCAGCAATAAGAGGCGGATGGAGCACGAGGCGGGTGCTTTTCGCAGCAGGTGGAACAGCAGCTGTTGGATTGGCAGCTCTGCTGCTGCAATGGCTGCTGTTGCTGCTGCAACGCAGATCTGGGTAGCGGGCGAAGTCGCGGACGGAAGCCGTTTGGAGGGGCGGTGGAGTGGAGGCTGCAGGGGGGCGCGCACCGAGTACGAGGGAGGGCACGAAGGCGGCGGCGCCAAAGGCGGGGATCATGCACCACATGAAGAGGACGGCCGCGATGTTGAAGATATTATCCAGCGCCAGGCGGCCGCCTGTGTTTGTTGCGTTTTTGGGTTGGTGGGGGGAGGGGCAAGGGGGGGGGGTGAGAGTGTGCAGGG